GAAAGGATTCTTGCAATCCACCTTCCAATCTTTCCCCTCTAAATCAGCACCGAACCATTGCTTTCTTTCAGCAAGAATATTGCGAATACCTGATTAAAAAATAAATAAATTATCTCCTAGCTTTATAACATAATCAATTACTTACCTTTAAAGTACCTTTCTTTACGAGTAATTGTTTTCCCTTTCTATCTCTAAGGGTACTCACCTTCTCAAAAAAAAAGTCCTGCTTTAAAACCTCTCTGCTAGTCAATGTAACTGTCGTAGGACGAAACTGAAATTTTTCAGTTACTGGCCATATCTTCTCCTTCAATGTCATTCTTGAGGCAACCAGAGCATCCTCAGCAAATGCGGAATGGTTTGAGCCGTTGTCAAACAAAAATACACCAACGCAATTGGGATTGAGCAGCTCAAAAAGCTCAATTGCGTCATCTTTGAGCTGCTCGACCATGTGTTTATAGGTCCACCAACCTTCTCTATCACCACCGGCCTTAAAGTACCTTCTTGAGGTCCAAGGGCCACTCTTCATCGTTCCATGACAAGGGCACTGGAACTCACTGATCATGATGGAAGATCCAGGCCCTTTTTTACGAATGTAGTTTCCGTCGCTAGTAAGCCAGAAGTCGCTTTTTCCATCGTTTGCATAAAAAGTGCTTTCATCGTGGGTTACAAAAACAATCTTCTTTTTACCATCATTCCAAACAGGTTCCAGCACCTCTTCTTGGTTGTCACCTTGGTAAAATTCAGAGCGCTCCATGTATTTTAACATGCGTTTACTCCAAGCTTGTCTATATTCGACGACATCAGGTCTCTCGTGACCATCGAAAAAAATAGCCTTTTTGTTTTTAAGGTAATAATAGCCCCATTCGTAAAGATATCTGGCCACCGTAGTTTTACCAACGCTTTTAGTAAACCGAGAGTGGCAGGAATAACGTCCTCGTCGATAAATTTTTTAATATTATCTACTGTTCTGTAATTGGCAGTAGTCCTCTTAATCATATCCAAAACATTGGTCTTAAAGTCGTTATCAGCTAAGAAAGAGAGACGTTTAGCATGAACACCTTGACTATGGTTGGACAAGACTTGATTTTCAAGGTATTCATTTGCCCACTTGATAATTGCTTTATGTCTGTAAAATTTGGAGCAATTGGGCCAAAGAGAATTTGCTGATTTCTTAGCTGCCTCGTGTTTTTTCAAACCTTCCAATCGGTTTTGAAAGTATTGCTGTATAGACACATAGCGGATATGATTGTATGAATTCACGTTATTACCATCGAGCGATTTGTTCGTTACTGGCTTAGCAATAATTGGCATATCCTTGAACAAAACTCTAATTTTTTCAAGCTCTTTCTTGGTATGAGCCACGTACTCTTCGTTTTCTTTAGCGCGAGAGTCATAAGAAATAGTGACACCAAAATTCAAAATAGTATTAGCAGGTTCGACAGTCTTTGCTTGTTTTTTTTTCTCCAAATAGTTACTGCTGAAGTCTTATTGTAATGACCATTTCTAGGTCTTTTGGAAGATGATCCATCATCGAAAAGTGCTTCATTGATGTTTTTTGGTGTGGCAATACGCTCCGTATGGTTGAGAAGGTCGTTGGTATCCTCTTCCCAGACAATCCAATCTTCTTCGACAGTTTCAGCTGTTTGTTCCATAATTTTACCAGTTGTATCTCTTAATCTATTGCGATTTGCTAAAGTTTTTTACTAGGTGCAGGCATTTTGATGTAGTATGTAGTACAATAAAATAAAAAAGGTTTTTTTCTGGTCAAGAAATTTAAACGTGAGTTTTGCCGAGTCGCAGTATAAATAATATCAAAACCCTGTTTTACATCATGTTCAAAATGTTAGTATATGACATAAAAAGCTACTTGAAGTCTCCCCAAATAATGTGAATATATGTTTTAACAACATTTCACAAGTTTTATTTTTTTGATATCTTTATTTTTGGAGCTTCTGAAGGCTCTGCAATGATTGATAACCATAGACGTCTCATAATTTGTCCAATGATGATTGATTTTGAGTTTTAAATAGACGGATAACAGGAATGTCACTTTTTTACGAACAACGTATAATAAGAATGTTTGAAGAACCCCAAATAATATTAATGTATGTTATATTAGTATGCATCTACTTTGGGTTTTTTGATCCGATAATTTTTCGAGCTTCTGAAGATCATTCAAGACTGACATTCAGGCCTGGTTTTGTTTACCCAGGGAAAAAATTAAGACTACGCCTCTCTTATAAATACCGAGAAAGTAACAATGCATTTGCAACCAAATTGAAAAGGAAAGTAGTAATCCAATTCCCCAAATATCGTTCCTAAAAACATAAATATTATTAACCTTCTTTCCGTTTTCAAATATATTTATTTTTAAGCCTTCTGAACGTCTTTGAATATCTTTTCGAAATTAATTCGATTGTTATGACTAAAGCCGGAAATTCAAAAGAATTTGACAGAAAATACTAAAAACTTAGTAACTGTAGGCGCTATATTATTCGTTGTTGTATGTTACACTAACCCGGATCGGTATTTAAATTATCAACACACATAGACCATATTCTTTCAATATTTCCCCCCTACAGCCAAGTCCCAGCCAAAAAAATTAAAAACCGACCAACTTTGAGAGTCTTCAGACGACTCAAAATTGAAGATATCAACTTCAACCTCCCCATTTTTTGTTCATAAACATCTACTTAACAATAAATGGGGAGGTCGAAGTTGATATCTTTAATTTTGAGTTGTCTGAAGCTCTTGAAAAAATGTCTAAAATTTTGGAACATTTAAGTTCGATCGCACGTTAACCATTCCCATGACTAGAAAAGAACATAGACAAATCCTTAGGTGGCGCATGAACTGCTTACCTGGTGGAATGCCGAATTGCCACTGTGGCAGTCAAATGAGCAGAAATCACTTATTCGTATACCCAGCCATCCCCCAGGCATATTGGGAAAATATTCAACGTGGTTTACACAACGATGTCAACCCAATCGACGCAATACTAAAATCACTTCCAACTGACAAGCCCAAGTACATCACTGAAAAACAAAACCTAATAATCAAATGGCAACCTCTCTAGACTGATCTCCTAAACATTCTCTTCCTTGTTGACCAGATCTGTCATAAATCACAAGAAACTTTTGTCGACGAACCCGATCCTGGTGTTCTCTTTTACAAGTGGATTATGGAATAGTGCATTGTGAAAAAAGAATATACAGGGCAAAAAAGAAAAAAAAAATAACCCTCTTACGCACAACACTTTCCCCCGCTTACTATTACGTCACTCAAATCCGCTCTCACACTGATGTCACTCAAACTCTCTCCAAATCCTCACCAACCAATTATCACTGACCAACGCTTTGACTTTTTGACTTCTCATCTCGTAACCCACTCATGCAAAACCGACGGCCTAGCTGAAATTCAATTCGAAATCATGCTAATTTGTCCAATTGATCTTTTATTTACTTTTATTATTTACAAACGAACCCTTTCCCATTTTTTAATTCTCCTCCTCATGAGGCTTTATTTTTTAACAACACCCCCCCCCCCAAATCCTCATATTCGTATCCAAACATTGCCCGATTAATGGGATCTTGATACAATATTTTAATAAGCGATTATTAATAAACTTCTAATGTTAAGACTTAACCAACCGCGCGAGGTTAATACCGAGTAAGGTCGCGCGCGAAAAAATCAACCCTTTTATACACTTTTTGCCTGCAGGCCAAGCCACATTCCTCACAAATCTTAATTTACCCACCTACAGCAATCAAAAACTATCCTATCGATACGCCCGCATATTTTAATGAACCAAAAATCTATTTTCATTCCTTCTCGGATTCTAAATTGCTTTTGGAAGATTCATTCCCACCCTCAACAAACAGAAAAAACCAACCTAAAAAGCATAAAATAATCAAACCAACAATGGCACCTCCTAAACAGAAGATCGCTTCTGTTATGGATGCCCTCTCCCCAGCTGATAGGGTAAATTAGCAAACTTTGAAACACACAAAAAGTCAATTACATGTCCAAAATGTATCAACAAAGGTACAATTAATTACATTGGTAACAACAATGCCAGCAACTCCCACCCACTGTTCTCATGCACAGCATGTCAACAAAAAATATTAATTTCATCTCTTCAGCATGAAATAACTCAAGCGAAAGCATCGGGAGCAATCCCCATTGATGTGTCGTACCCCACACCTGAAGCACCAACAACAACAATTACCAAAAAGACTTCACAAAAAAAACTCACTAGAGTAGAAAGGGACGACAACTTGGAAATGACACGCAACAAGTCAACGCCAACAAAAAACAACAAAAAACAACAAAACCAACAAAAACAACAAAAACAACAAAAACAACAAAAACAACAAAACCAACAAAAACAACAAAACAACAAAACAACAAAAACAACAAAAACAACAAAAACAACAAAAACAACAAAAACAAAAACAACAAAAACAACAACGGAAGTACTGTTGTAAAGTCTTTGGTATGAAATTTAAAATAAGGAATAAAAGGAAGAATAACAGAGGTATTTATAGTGATCACCAGACTGTGAAAGTAGTCAACTTATTTAGATATAATAATAAAAGGTTATAGCTTTGGATAACTTTAGCGACAAAATCAGTTCAATACAGGATTTGAAGGAGTAGTAATATACAACTGAATCTTTAATTTGATGATTTAAGTAGGAAATTATGTTCAAGTATAATTAAGATCTTATTAAATTCAATAAATAAAAATATGGATCAAGACGAGACTTAATGACAAATTCAAAGTGAAGTAAAGACTAACTGAAGAAATGTTTATTTGTTTTTGGGGGCCCCTTTTATAGAAAAAGGGGAGAAAAGCAGTCAAACAATTGGGGGAGTTTGGGGGAAAAACCCAAAGAAAGGAAAAAAGGTAGTGTAACATATCTTCCCGGCAGAAAAAAGGTAATCCTTACCGAGAGGAAGAGAAAGAGATAAGTGAGAAGTAAGCAAGTGATTTGTTTTTTAAAAAAATAAGGGCCAATCATCCATTACATTTAACAGTGAGTGCAATTTGCGGTTTTTGAACAAACTTAATGGAATGAGAGTCTTGAGATAGATATTTCTTTTACGCATGTAGGCACGACCAGCAGAGTTATACTTGTGGAATTCTTTATGGCATTTGGGGACGAGTAGGGGAATTATTTCTTGCATATCACGAGTGAGGTGTTCTTCTACTTGTTCTAACTTATAATAATACTTACTGATGTTTTTGATTAAGAGACCCAATTGTTCGGACTCGGTTTCCTTTGTCGTTAAGATCGAAGAATTTGGATTCTTTGGTTCGATTTGATCGTAATTTTCTTGAAACAGGTTTTCGAGTTCTACCGGAGTCATCGGTTGCGCATTTGACAGCTGGGGGATTAAGGACTTGATAGGATGGGGGTCTAGGAGGATTTCCATCATGATGTTTTCCTTTTTCTTGGTTATCACCAAGGACTTGGCGAGGTCTTTTTTGACATGAGGGGGAGAAGCGTCTTCTTGGGTGTCTTTTTCATTTTCAAGAGTAGTGGTGGCGAGAGAAGAAAGAGTGTGGACTTGTACATTGGGGACTTTATATATGCGTAGTTTATAACAGCGAGCCAATCTTTCAATTGGCGAAGTAATATCCTTAATTTTGTATGTTCCTTTGTGGGCAGATTGCGAGATGATAAAGGGGCCATTCCACTACATATGTTTTCGAATGTCAGCAAGCTTTGCTTTGACATGCTTTCACCAAAGCTCAACACTCGGTTCAAGTTTGATGATAACGAAGACACGTACCCGTTTGCTCTCGAGGCTGCTGATTTTACTCGCATCAAAACCGCCATGGATGACTCCCTTCGTGCAATTCCTGCGGATTCCAGTGGCTCGTTTGCTGGTGTCAATCTGGATAATGTTAGATCTATCTATCGTTCGGTGGACTGGATCGCCTGGTTGGTGCATGTGATTCCTACGATTGTTGCCCCACTCTTTCACGCCAGAGAAGAAACCACAGGATTTATTGCTCTGTCTCGTGGTATTCAATTGAGTTTGCAATGGTCGATATCCGAATCTGAAGTGAAGGAAATTGAAACGTAAATATTCATTGTTGAGTTGTAATTTATGTAGTGATATTTACTTGAACATTATATTTGCTTATGATAGATGCTTTAAGACTTGCTTTGATTACCTCGATACCTGTCTTGAAAGCAGCTCTATCTCTAGAACCGTATTCAGATCAAACATGCACCAACTGAACCATATACCATACATGATAAAACGAATGGGGTTAGTTATCGATTGTCATTATAGTTATTAGACTTCCCTTTTGTACTAATTTTTCATTTCTCTGGTAGACCGTTAAGGTGTTATTCTGCAAGATCATTGGAAAGGTCTATTGGCATATACAAGAAGCGAATCCGTTTATCTTTGAATCCTGGCGTCAACGCCGGTAATGTCATGGAAACTCGTGAAAGGTTCTCTTTTTTGCAATCCGATGGTACAATCGATAGTTCCGCCTATGATTTGAAGAAGGATAAAGTTAACAACTTCTTACCCCACCCGTCCAACGATCCATTATTGCCTCAGATGTGGTCACCCTTTCACTGGCGGGTAAATACTGTAAAGCTGGGCCAGGTTGTAAAGCAAGCAAAAGAAAATCACAATCATACCATTGGCGGCTACCTGGCAAAAGACTGGCTTAAAGCACTCTCTCAATTTTTGATTCGTCTGACTGGTAATACTTCAACTGTTATAACTTCGTTCCATCAGCACCAATTTGTCAACATTTCTCAAAAACTCTGGACAAACAATCAAATATACATATCTGATTTGTGCAAATCGAAGAACGCGGCAAGTTCGCGTGGTGGTGAGTTTGTTACGTTTACTGCAATTCATAAAAATCGGTAAGTTGATGTTTGGAAATCAAAATTATTGTGTACTGACTTATTGTAATTAGGATGTTCCGGCCTGTCAAAAACTGGTACGTGTGTAAAGTCTTGTTCTTTTTTAACTTTACATATAAAGAAGGTGCTCCGGGCTCGAACTTCGTTTTTGGTGAACTTATGAAGAATCATGACGTCTCGCCATACTCCAAGGCTATCCCGCGCGTGAAACCTTACGATGAGGCTGAGCAAAAAAAAATTGTGGTCTTTGATGCTGAGGATCTTTCGTCTGCTGTCGGATTGGTGAATGCGGTTGACGGCTCCAATAACAAATATGTTATAAAGACTGGTGACGCTTTTAAAGTCGATATGAGAGTACTGCCGGAAGTGTTGGAAACATTGTTTTCCGCTGAAAATAAAATACAAAATCATTAAAACCCACAGTCACATATCCCGTTTTCTCATTTTACTTACGTAATCTGAAGTTGTCTTTTTCTTACCCTGGCTATCATCCCCATAAACATTTTTTTTCTTTAAAAAATCACGTTTATCTGTTAACATGGTATAGCTACATCTATTTATTTATGTATAAGTTGTTTTTATAGAGATTTGAAAATTTGGCTTTGCGATCAGCGATCAAAAAATCAAAAATATCGGAGATATCGATCTTTTCGATTTTTCGAGCGATATGGTTGTAGCCAATCTAAATTGACTTGGTGTTACACCGGATAGGATCTTTTCTATAAATACGTCCCTTTTTTTCTAATAAATATTACTTCAGTTTTATCTTGACTAAAAATCTAGTTTCCTAATAATTTGTAATTGACTCCTTTGTGTTTCCCTCAACTCGCATACTTCTTGTTTATCTTAAGTTTATACTTCTCATATAACAATTAACTCAAAGTTCATATTTCACACTCGACTTGAATCTCTTTATTATTCAAACTATATATAAAATATCGTTTATAATAACATAATTACTTTTCTTTTTAATCTTGGCAATTCGTTTATATTTATATTACTTACGCCCTCTTAAAATCATCGTTGATTATCTTCTTATCCTAAAAACTTTATATTATAAGATTTCTTAAGTTGACTACTTCCAGTCTGGTGCTCACTTTCATAACTACTTTCTTATTAACATCAGTGTTAATAATCTATATCCACCTTATCCTTTAAGAACTATTACCAATGTCTTAACAATATCGCCAATATCGATCAAAAAAAACATTTTGATCGCTGATTTATTTTAGGGTGCTACATTGCCTATTATCAGTTTGACACTGGAGAAAAATTTGACGTTTCTCAATACATGTATAAATATTTGGAAAAAGACGACATCCTTAGACCCAGGCAAGAAAGTTGATCTACACAGAAGTATTAATTGTTTATACATCTGATTAACTATTGTATGCGCAATGTTTATACTTCATAATCCAAAATATTAATTTCAAAAGCGACCCCTTCATGGACCTAAAACAAACAATTTTTCAGTTCTTCTCGAGTAATGACATATTGTTTGTGAAAAAGTGTTCATAGACTTTTCTCTAACCTCGATAATATAATGCTTAATGCTATTGGTTGTTATACTGGGGCGAAGGGGAACCTCTACCCCGAAACCTCCATAGTAACAATTTGTTTTTTGCAATGACTTTTTGTAAAAGTCACTTTTTGTAAAAGTCACTTTTTATATTATGACTTTCTCCAAATTAATCAATTTTTATATCAGCTCTTTTTTTCAGTTTAATGAAAGTATTATGGGTCCTATTCAGAGGGGTTTTTCCAGCCTCTAACTTTGTATCTCGGCTTAAAAATAGGCTAATTATACTCGCACCATACTTTTTGCTTGAAAAAAAAATCTCGCGCACCATTTTTTTCTGTCCGGTCAAATAATAAAATTCCGGGTCGGACCAAAAATGATTTTTGCACATTGGATTTTTTTCTTGCGCACCATGCTTTTTCCGCTGGCGCACCATAATTTTTCGCTGGCGCACCATACTTTTTTTTCGCTGGCGGACTATATTTTTTTTCGCTGGCGCACCATACTTTTTGATGAAGAGAATCAATGTGGTTTTGAGTGTGAGCTCATGCTTTTAGTCTAAATTTTATTTTGTTTTTGGGTTTTGATTATTATGAGATAAAATATAAAGTTTGGGAGAATGTTAAGGATTGGGGAAACAAATTATAAAATTATCCTGTCTAGTTGTTTTGAAAGTAGTGAGACATGTCGTTGACACAAATGTCTCGGTGCGCGTCGAATACTTTTTGGTGTGAAAAGTTTAATGTTGGCCATTTTTTGACTTTAAAAGCTTTCTTCGTTTTGTTGTCGATTTGAGGTAAAATCATATAAAAATGACTGTTGGCAAACAAAAGTTGAATAGGATCATTCATTGTTTCCAAATCCAGACCAAGAAGTGGTACAAAAGTGATTGAATCTTTGGTGTATATGATGTTTCCATCATTATCTCTCCACGTGATTTCATACTTATCGACTTTCGGTGTTGTAGCATGTAAAATTACTGGTCTTTTGAAAGTGTCAGCAACAATTTGTGGGCATCCGTAACAGTCAAACCAAAGACTTAAGTCATCAAGACAGGGAGCTCTTGTTGATTGCAATTTTTTTGAGGTATACGCTTCGTTTAGCCCATATGTGTTGTAAAGAGTGTTAGCATACTTTGTAAAGGTAGCTAACATCATTTTTTTCACTTGGATCCAAGCGATTTCATTGTCAAAAACAGCGAGGCTTACAGCACGGTATCCACAAGTACCATCAGGATGGGGGTTGACGAACCCAAGTACATCACTGACCCATGCATTATCTAGCAATCCAAACAGACCACTGTAATCTGCTTCACGAGTTATGACAGTGGAAGGCTCGTATCTAGAAAAACAAATAGGTGTTATTGCTGTAAAATAATTAAAAATATAACATAAACCAATACTTTGACTTGATCTGCTTGATCACGGCTGTTGACAGCTTGCGAAGACTTAAGGTCGTTTTGGTTTTTTTTTGCTTTTCTACTTTTATTGTTTCCTGCTTCATTTTTTTGGCATTTTTTTGCTCTATCGAGATTTTTTCATCTTCATGTTCCACACCAAGCTTGTTTCTTTTTGTCCCTTTAGGTCGGCCCTTTTGTATTTCAACAATTGAAGGGGCAAGAACAGTTTCCAGACGGTCTACCGAATATTTTTGGATCAAAGCATCCATATCTTTGATAAGATCGGCTGATTATTGCTGACTACCTAAGACATTGCTTAATGATAGAAGCTTTTCCAACCTAAGTTGGATAGCACTGGTATCAATAGGCAATGTTTCATTAGACTTTTTGCTCATCTCAGCGGAAATTTCAGCAATTGTGGCGACTAAAAAGTATTAATTTTGATTTCAGTCTAATTCAGTTTGTATATTAATTTTTTACCGGTTCCCTTCACATATGTGATCCTCCATCGTTCGTGAACAATGTCCAGAGGAACTTTATTCTCAACAAACGAGACGGCAAGAACATGTCTGCAAGGAAGTCGAATATTTTTTCTGAGCTTGCAGAGACAGCTTCTCCAGGG